AAAAAAACGTCTAAAACGTACAAAATTACGGTGCATAACTTTTCGTACGATTTCATACAAACTAATAATGAGAATACACTGAAAAGTCCTAACAAAGAAGCCTATGTTTAACCAGGATGTGTTGGGATCTGGAGGTCTGTCTACCTTTCTCCAGCAGAGGGCGTCCTAGGTCTCCTGGAGCCGAAGCTGACTTCTACACCTGCGGCTCGTTAACTCATCAGGAGACCAGCATATAAGCAGTGGCAGCGCAACACTCCAGTGCCAGAGTGTTAAGCCAGTTACGGTTAGCAAGTCTGAGCCAACCAACCTGTCTGATTCTCTGACTCCCTTGAAACCTGAACCTGAACCTAACCAGTTTTGTCCTCTCTGCCTCCTAGGAAGAACCGAACTGAATCCTGAAACTCTGGAAGAGTTTCTCATCTGCACTACCTGTCTGATCTCTGGAGATCATTGGATGATCAATCTGTCTGAACCTGCCTGCCCGCTCTCAAGAAGAGAACTGGAGAAAACCTCTGATCTGAACACCGAGAAGTCTGAAGTCAAGCCCTGCCACTGCCAAGCCCTCTGCTCACCATCTGCCTCTGGACCCTCCTGGTTCCCTCCCTCTGCCGCTCAGTCAACCACTGAACAGGTACAGACCTGCATAATTCAACAAACAACTGAACCTGGATCTCAGCTAACCGAACTATCCCTCTCTGCAGAGAACCCTGTTGTTACCAGTCCCGGACCTGTTAATCCGAATCAGTCTTTATTATCCATTGTGTGATCAATAAACTTTTCTTCTGTGTCTGAGTGTGTTCTGCATGTGGGTTAGGTCCCTTAATCCCACCATGACAGGATGGTCCACTGTGTCAAAAAGCTTTTAACAGATCAATAAAAAGAGAGGCACAATGCTGCTTTTTATCCAGAGCAACAATAATATAATTAATCACCTTTGTAGCTGCAAAAGGTACTGTGATTTGTCTTGAAGCTAGATTGAAGATTTGATAGAAGTTTATGTGAATATAAGAATGCATTTAACTGAGATTCATGAACGATAGGCAGGATGCACAAATTGGATATTGACCTGTAGTCAGTTAGATGTGCAAAATCTCTTTCTTTTAATAGAGGAGTAACTAAAGCTGACTTCCAAACTGATGGAATTTCTTTGTTTTGGACCGAGAGATTAAAAATGGTTGCAAGAGGTTGGGGGCGGCGTGCCCTCTACACCTGGAACACCATTAAATGGGCTGGTACAGGAGGTAGAGGGGGGTTACTCCTGTAGGGTCAAACAGTGAACCAGATAACAAAAATGTTTGTTTAAGCAATTTAAGACTCAGAACATAATAGACTGAGTCAGGTTCGTTTAGCATATTTTTTGGGAATACCCGAGAGCTTTTATTAACAAAGGAGGACTAATTATTCTCCAACATTTCTGTGGATTATTGAGGTTCTCAGTTCTGATGGACAAGTAATAATCTGATATAAGAGCTGCTTATTTTAGATAGCAGTATTCATTTATTGGTTTTATTTTAAGATAGTTAGACCAGTGTGTCACTTTCATATTTTTCTATGCGCACTTTCATCTGGTTTGGTCTGCCGGCTTCCGTAGCGTCGTGAACGCGCAGGCGCGCGCTTTCAGGAAATCCTATACACTACTGTTTATGCTCTAAAAACATTCTAAATGACTTCGTTTCGAGTAAATTATGGATGCTACCCACTCAGGACACTTGGAATACATTGGACGAGCAGTATGGAGGAATATTGACACGTTTTTTGTGGACTTTTATGGACCTTTCTGCCTCGGGCACCATAGACCTCCATTATTTGAATGTCAGCAGACAGCAAGAAGCCTCCCAGATCTCCAGATGCATTTGAGATATCAAAAAAGTACTCCAGAGTGTAGTTCAGCATGGGGGTGAGTAGAAAATGAAGGCTAATCATGTTTTGGGTGTAGTATTCCTTTAAGTGCATTTCTTTGCATTTTGTGTAGATCTTACTTTGTAATCCAGGACAGAATCAATAGAATTTTTTCTAATACCTGAAAATGTGACTAATTTCTACTAGGAAAACAAAATGAAATCGGTCTGTTTGCTGCACAACAAGGATGCTAAAGTTGCGTTCACACCAAACACAGTTTTCAGCCCGTAAGCAATCCATTTACATGTTATCCATATGTAGAGGGCTGATTATGAGTGCTGCAAGGTAAAGGATGCAATTCTAACCAAGCGAAAGGAATGTTTTTTGGTAATTACAGTAAAATGAAAAAATGCATGCATTCAGGTCTATGCTCTCATTTGCACATATTTAATTACTTTTTATTATTTTTTACATTTCTGTCTCTTTTATCCACCTTACTTTTATCTTGTTAAATATTTATGTGTCTCTTGTGCTTCTTTTATTTTTTATCTGTGATTTGTGAAATGTGAACATGTGTGTAAAAGGTGTACTACTACTGCACAAAATTGCCCATACTGGGACAAATAAAGGCTACTGAAAAAGTGAGAGTGATTGCACACCTGTGACAGAAGTTAGGTGAAGTCAGTACTCGAGCTGAGGGGGGATGGCATCCCCCTTCTTAAAATTTTTTAAAAATCATCCCCCTTCTTAAATTCCCATCCCCCCATACCATCCCATGTGACATTTTATTACTGAATGTGTAAAATTTCTACTTATATTAACAGTAATGGCAACAATATTACCCTTTCAACATTTGGCGGGCTGTGGGCTTTGTAGCCTGAGTAAAGTAAATAAAATCAAAGAAGTGTCCTAACATGACCATGAAGCTGATCCCAGTGGGGAATTTGTCTCTATCTATGCAGGGGCAGTCATAGTCCACAGACTGACTGCAGTTCTACTGTAAGATGACTTGGTCAAGGTCAATGACCTGACATGTATGCATAGTGACATGCATATTGCTTTAGGTTAATAGACAATATCAATTAGGCTATGTATGTTTCAAAAAAAAAAAAATAATCCACCACCCCACCTTCCTTTTTTTTTTTTTACAGCTAGCCTACTGGGTGAAGTTACAATTGCAAGAGTTGTGTGTCTTTTTGCGTGGTCACGGTATAGGATGAAGAAGAGCTGCAGAAACGAGCTTTTTCCTATGAAAATGTAGAATTGCTCTCTGAGTGTTAGTTTCCTTAGTTTCAGAGCATGGCTGGAGAAGAGCCAGGTCCCTGTTCTCAGCACCCTTTGCTGGGTTTCTTGGTATAATCTCCAGCTGCTTCTTTCTGAGCTCTGTAACAACAGCTGGCATCATCTCTGTTGTCCAGCGAATCTTCCCCAAAGCTGGATAGTTTCCTGCTCTGGTCGGACAGAAGTATCAATGAAAGCAATCGTCATCCAGGTGTAGCTCCTGGAGGAGATGACGGTGCTTTTCAAACTTCTGTCTGTGGAGAATCTGGTGAGGTCAGGGCTGTTGACACCAGTGACCCTCTTCAGCTTTCAAAAGCCAATAAAGCAATGGTCCAAAAATACGGGCCTGCCAAGTGGAGGTGGAACTGCCAAACAGAGATTAGATGACATGGTGGAGCTTGTCACCAGGCGTGTGCATTGCTGCAAGCAGTAGTACAGATGGTAAAGCCAGAGTGATTCGTGTTTTTTACATGTTTTCTTCAAAGTTTCAAACAACAAAAAAAATATTGCTAGATTAATCACTAGTTGCTATTTGAAATTGTTTTGACATTGGTCTAACAGCTCGCTAAAAATTTGGTTTGATTGAAAGAACAAATGTCTCATCATCGATAAAATCGAGGAAATTTTACTTGTTACTAGTTGTTTTAATGGTTATAGAGTCAGATATGTGGCGGTAGTGTTTGATTTATCTAAAGGTTTTTATCTGTTACAGTGTAAATGGGTTTGGCTGGAATTTAAGGACAGATTCTAATAAATCTCCAGAGTGGGAACTATAAATCTGATAGGAGTTACATTTTTTTATTGTTGTTTTGCACAATATGCTTAACTAAGTATTTTTTGTTGTTGAATATTAGAGATTTTGCAGATATATTTTGTAGATACATTGTTTAGATTTACTTATATATTTCTAACCCTTTTATAGAATAGAATAGAAAATCCCTTTATTGTCCCACAATGGGCAAATTTACAGCAGCAGAAAGATTATTGAAAATGGTCACACAAATAAGGACCTTTGAAAAATTTATAAGAATAACATAATAGGGAAGAGTTAAAATATAAAAAATAAAATTCTGTAAAGTGTTTTAACAATATAAAACTGGAGAATTAATAACCAATATGCAGCTATGGACATTTTTACAGTAATGGATATTTGAAAATAGCAGCAACATCGGAGATGTATAGAATGACAGCAGCAGTTTATTTAACTGACTAAGGTTTCTATCATTACATTTGATTTGATTTGTTCCTGCTCCCGGTGGTTGGAACCTTTATTCCACTCTGGATTCTTGTGAGTGTAGTCTTTGTTCACTTTAACTTTTTAAAAAATAAATAAATAAACAAACAGTTTTGAAAACCTCGGTATTCATTCTTTTCCTGCTTTGTGTGTCAACTTTCACGGTTGCTAAGCAACAGAGCATACGGCGGTAAAACCCGCCGAAGGGAGGACCTGTTCGAATTTACAGCCAAAACTCTTCCGGCCTCCTTATTTTCAAGGACTTCGAAGGATCCAGTCTAGGTAGACCGCGTCCTTGGAGGATGCGTCCTAGGTTTTCGAACAGAGCCTCTGATTAAGAACAGGGCTGCCCGCACTGACACGGCTCAGGGATTATGTCACACGGAGCGTTGTGCGCAGTGAAATCAGGACATTTCCTCACTTTCTAAAAAAAACCCGGGACGCCCGTGACAGGACGTGAAATACGGATATGTCCCGGGAAATACGGACGTTTGGTCACCCTAGTCAACAACATCTTCAAAAACAACGCTCAACAACGCTCCTGAGGCGTTTTGATATCCATCGTTATTAGAAAGGTATCGGGGTATTAAAATCCTTAAATCAGAGCTCATGGAAAACATGTTCAATCTAATTTTCTGTCACTCACCATGGTGGTCTCAGCGATGGAGCCGAAGCTGTTGATGAAAATGTTACAGGAGACGTTGACTGGAGGACCTGCAGGTGAAAACACTATGATTAGAACAACTGGAAGATGATCCACACAGAAATGCAGGAAAACGCTGAAGAATAAATTTTCAGCAGCTCAGATGCAATATTTGGACATCCATGCAACACATTATGTTGGTCTGAAAAATAAACTTCCAGGAAAGTTGGTGATTTATGAAGCATTTCCTACTTATTTTACTGAAACGACTTCACTCCTGCATTCAGGAGGCTCCATATATCTGGATTTTTATCGGTACGGAGAAATGTTAGTAAATTTTAAATGTATTTTATTTTTGTGTCCTGTTTTTTTCAATATGGCTCTAGGAGTTATTGTTCCAGAGCTGGAGGTTTGCCCATCAGATTTGTTTTTACAAGCTGGCCATTATTGTTGCTGCTATAAGTGTCATGATCTGGCCTGTTTGCTTTCCCTTAATTATTCATTCCTTTCACCTGTCGTTTTTCCCTCCCTGCCTCAATTTTAATTTATTCCCCTCACCTGTTTCCTCTGGTTTATATTCAGTTCAGCCTGAGCATTCTGTGCCAGATCATTACTTGTGTTTCTGTTAGCCTGTCTTTAAGTTTTGTTCCTTGGTTCGTGTTCTGGATCCTGGCAGCCAGTGGAAAGAGGGTTTTAATGTTTGTCTCGTCTCCTGATCGTCCACTGTTCCTCCCCCACGGAGTCCTCTGGGTTTTTGGCTCAATATGTGGGGAGGTTCAGTTTTTATCCAGTAAGCCTGGCTCCAAGGAGGAGACCAGTTTAAAGTCCTGCTTCAAGTTCCGGTTCCACGTACTGTCTCTCCTTGAATACTGGATCTGTCCTCGTTTTATGACAATAAGGTTCTGCTTGTTACCTGTATATGAAACTTTATTAAAAATTATTTAGGGAGTAAAATTGTTAACAATCAACATGGAAATGTAAAGAGAGATGAGAAAGAAAGAGGGGATAAGAACTAAGGGGGGAGAGAAAGTGATAGAGACTGGAAGATATACAACAAAACAGCTTAAATAGAAAACAGAAGATATATTGACCAACAAATCTTAATTATGGTATTATGTAAATATGTAACATATTTCATTATGTTAATCTCTAATGCATGGGCTTCTGTCAGTTAAAACTAGGTTGATAACAACAATCGGTGTTTATGTCCATCTTTTTTTTTATCTGTTTGTTTGATAGTTTTTGTAGATATTTCTTCTAGACCAAACAGGTTTTGAGCATCTGATTTACAGACAGTCTACAGTATGGGATGCGCTGAAGCTCGAGCAGCACAATTTGACAGTCGTGAGCGTCGTGTTTTGCAGAGGTTCCATCATTTGGAGAACTGCGGTTTGAAAATTCAAGTGTCCCGGCTTTAAAATCTGAACTTTTGCAGTAGGATCCTGAGCGTCAACCAATCAGAGAAGCTGATTCTGGCACCGTCTAGAAGACAGATACTACATGCAAGACATGATGCAGAGCTGCCAGTATAAACTGAATGGGGTTTGCTAGAAGGCCAGAGGAATCTTTTCTTTATCACAAGGTATAGTAATTTCCCTTGGATTATTAAAGTATGTCTGATTCTGATTCTGATAGTAGGGGTGCTCTGATCATTATTAGTCCTCCAAAGTGTTTGTTTTCTGAACTGTGGAAAGAATTTATAAATAACTACATTAACTCATAATATTAAAATATACAGGGAAAGAAAAATATATTCTGAAATTTGCTGTTTTTACCACAAACCTAAAAAATATTTATATTCACTTTCAGCCGCTGCAAATGACACTCACTGAGTCTGGCTGGCTTCAGAAAGCTCTCAGTGGGGACATGTAGCACTACCTCCTTCTGCTAGTGACGGTGGCCCTGCAGTGCAAACTGCAACTACAAATCTAAAAGCGCAACTGCATTAAGAAAAACAAAACTACATAAAGCAAAGCGCAATTACATTAAGAAAAACAAAACTACACAAAGCAAAGCGCAACTACATTAAGAAAAACAAAACTACACAAAGCAAAGCGCAACTACATTAAGAAAAACAAAACTACACAAAGCAAAGCGCAACTACATTAAGAAAAACAAAACTACATAAAGCAAAGTGCAACTACATTAAGGAAAACACAATTACATTAACCTACCGGAAAAGGTAGGTACCAGTGGGAAACATGAGACATCGCTGATTGGACGACGGCGCCGTTTGACCCTTGAACCGGAAGTCATTCTGCCTGCTGCGGCTTTTGAAAACATGGATATTGTCGGCGCTCCAAACATAGCTGCCATTTTCCAGGAATATTTTGAATCAGGACATACGTACGAGGTGATACTGGATATGTTCAAGACTAATCACGAATTTTTAGTTAGTTTGAGTACACTGAAGACACACTTAAAAGAAGCTGGACTGTTCAGACGACGCTACTTCCGGTTCAAGGGTCAAACGGCGCTGTCGTCCAATCAGCGATGTCTCATGTTTCCCACTGGTACCTACCTTTTCCTGTAGGTTAATGTAATTGTGTTTTCCTTAATGTAGTTGCGCTTTGCTTTATGTAGTTTTGTTTTTCTCAATTTAGTTGCGCTTTGCTTTATGTAGTTGCGATTTCCTTAATGTAGTTGCGCTTTGCTTTATGTAGTTTTGTTTTTCTTAATGTAGTTGCGCTTTTAGATTTGTAGTTGCAGTTTGCACTTCAGGGCCACCGTAGCTGGTGCCTCGAACCAGAGCAGAAAATTTAGGAGCGTAATCTTGATGAAATTACAGCACAAATTATTTTAGGCATACCTTTTCACTTAAAATGTGTTAAAACTACTTTTTTCCAAACCATAAAAACAAATAAAGAAATGCTAACGATTGTAAGAAAAAACAGAGCAACATCAGCAGCCAGAGTGTCACACATTCAGAGAATTTAACATCTAAGTGTCCAAATTGAGGTGTTAGAAGCCTTTTTAACGTTCAAAACATGTTTGGTATGAAAAGTTGTGTTAGGTTTATTATATGGTGTTTGTTTGGTCGTGCTTAGGTGATGTAGTGAAGGACTAAAGCTTGCTTAACTGAAGAAACGATGATAAGCAAGAGGGCAAAAACTTAAAGGAACTCTGTTATCATGTATAAATTTGTCAAATATCAGTCCTTAAAGGCAATATTGATATCAGATATCAGTCAGCCCACATTTTCATATATCTGTACATTCCAAGTTGAACTTTACTTATGTAAAGTTTATGTAAAGCTGAACTTTACTTATGTTTTATTTTCTGTGTTTCATTTCACCCAGTGAGATAACAGAAAAGAAATTCTTAATTTAAACAATGATCCCAGTAATTAATCATCACATCAATTATCACTGGAGCTGCTTTAAAGAGAGAACAGCTGCAGGGAGAAATTAGTGCAGCTTTCAAGCAGGAACATCCCTGATTAACTGAAGCTAGATCAACCAGACATCTGGGAAACATCTAAAAGGTATAAATGACGTAGATCAGGTGTGCTAAAAGTAGGGATGAGTAAAAAGTCAGAGATGGAGCAGAATCTCTGGAATTTAAAACATGAGAAAACAAAGACATATTTTGGTGTTTAACAGAACCGGAAAGGGGTGACCATTAAGTACCTTTGAAATTTGGCCTGATCCGAGCATCATATCCAGACGTCCTTCCCATCAGTTTATCCAGGAAGTCAGAGGGAGACATCGGAGCGTGCCGTGTCCGGGCAGCGCTGTTCATCTCCTTACACCGGCTCAGACTGCAAGGGAAACAGGAGACATTGTTTTACACCGGGGAAGGAGAATTTCACCTGTTGACATCAACCAGCAGTACAGCCTGAGGGACAATAAGATGATTCTCATCAACACTCCTGTCTACTGCAGGGATATTGAAGGCCTTTTCTGGCAGTGTCCGTTTTTTACTGGTGAAGATTCTCAGTCATCCAGGTCATAGTCTTTCCCTAAAAAGAAAATTAAAAACAATCCACTGGACTTTGTTTCCAAAGTTTGAAGACGTTTCGTTTTCCATCCTGGAAGCTTTTTTATTTCAAAATGTCTGGAATAGCGTTGAGTTCTAGGTTTTATACAGTAGCCCATCAAAGCCTTGTTTTTATTTTGAAAACTGGCAAATTGAAATAGACAAATGGGTCCACCCCTTTGGAATGGGGTTCGTTTGGCTACTTTTGTTAGCCTGCAATGCCCCATACCCATCTTCGGCTATGTTTACATTGTAGGCCTTGCGCTCGTTTCCGATTTCTTTGTAAAATCTGATTTTTTGCATTGCTGTTCACATTTTTCAAATATCTGCAACTTGTATATGATCTCCTGTGTGAACTGCATTCATACAGCCTAACTGTCCTGCATAAGCAGTAGAGGACGCAATGACGTCACAAGCAATTTTACAATTTTACAATTAATGTTTACAGAAGTAAAAATGGATGGTAGTACTAGAGAACATCTAGCGATCTTTCCCAACCTTAAAAACTCAATCTTTCCAAGATGGTTAAACATAAATACTAATCTCCGCATTTTCTTCCACTATTGTTGTTATTTTTCTTGCCACTCCTGCATAGCAAGAAGCAGTACAGTAGAGTGACCACTGTCGGGTATAAATGTCATTCAGGTCGGTTGTTCAGACACAGGTCGCATTTGAAAAGATCAGATTCGTATCAGATTCAGGACCACGTAGCTAAGCGGCCTGGGTCGCATTGGAAAAAATCGGATTTTTGTTGTTCAGACTGTCATGAAAAGATCAGATCCAGGTTGCATATGAGCAACCTGGAAATCGGATTGGGGTCACTCAGGCTAAAGTGTGAAGGTAGCATAAGTGTCTGAAAGGGGAATCGTTATAGGGAATTGTTGGCCTGGCTGAATAGGCAAGGTTCTCTGCTCTCCTGTGCAGAGGCTGGGGCTGCGATGATATCGGCCCCAACCCCTATACAGGAGAGCCGAGGACCTCTGTGTGTCAGTGTGAAATGCAAAGGTTTGATATATAGAAAATGTAAAAGTTTTATTTTTTAAAATTCAAAGACAAAAAGGTTTGGATGTAAGCATTTTGGACAAAGGCCATATTTTGCATTTAAATATGAATCAATGGAAGACAAATCTCAAGAATAATAAAGACTTGTTTGTTTCCTTCAATCCTTGGAGCATAAATGACAATCATAGTGTCATGAGGTGTCCTGACCCATCAGGTGTGTAGTTTATCGTCTCATCAGAATAATTTATTTCATTTTCTGGTCATGATAATATCAGGCTAATCACATAACACTCCCCACTGCTGACATTTAACATCACACTGCCCCTGTGTGTTTCCTGAGGGGCATGGTTGAAAGCTCTAAATGCCAGAGTAAAGCTTGATGATCCTGAAACTACACTTTTCCTTTTTTGTGCTTGTCAGCTGGGAAGAGAAGGAAAAGCAGCAGAGAATCCAGAAATAACTTCCCAGCTTCACACAGAACACCCTGGTGCTGTTTCAACAACCTTTACTGTGGCATTTGGATGAAACACCTTTCACTCTAGCTTTCCTCATAACTCCTAAGAACCTTCCTTCTCTGAAAACAAAGTGGCGAAATATCAGAAACAATGAAAGCTAGATCTGAAGGAGGCTCACAAACCTCAATTTGTTCTAAAATTATCTTAGAAAAGTGAATCAACCCGGATGTTATTGGAGTTACAGTGGCCCTGTAAGGAAAAACCCTTAAGGTACAGCAGAAAATCAGTTTTATCACTTTGCTGCTCAGGAATAAACATGTGTGTTGAAATTCCCATGAGTCTAAGTGAACAACTGGACCTCTAGAACAACTTCCTTTAGACACATCAAACCAAAGCAGAGGAACCTGAAGACCATTCTAAGAAACACAAACACAAGATCAGAACAGATACTTCATATCATCTGACAAGCAAGGTAGTGGAGTGATGATAATGTGGGCTTGTTCTGAAGCCACAGGACCTAATGGGCTACTGATAGAGGTTCTACAGGTTAATGAAAGAGGTTCTACAGATTACTAGAGAAAGTTCTACAGGGTACTGACATTGGTGCTATATGTTATTAAAGATGATTCTACTGGCTGTTGATTGTTCAACCGATTGGCAAGAAGAGGGGAAGGATGATCAAAAAAGGTTCTACAGGTTGCAACATAAGGTTCTACGGTAGGGGTGGGCAATTCCAGTTCCTGAGGGCTGGTATCCTGCAACTTTTAGATGTGCTTTGTTCAACACACCAGAATCAAGTAATTAGATGATTGAGTGGACTCTGGAGGGACTGACTGCCCACTGAGGAGGCAACTTAGCCATTAGATTCAGGTGTGTTGTACCAAGGAGGAATCTAAAAGTTGCAGGATACCAGTCTCCAGGAACTGGAATTGCCCACCACTATTCTAGAGTTTAGTGAAGGAGGTTTCTCACCTTATTAAAGAGGTTTGACAGGCTGTTCCTAGATGTATTAGAGGCAACTTGAAACGGTTCTAAAAACTACAGAAGGATGTTCTAGAAGGTGTTGAATCATGGGTGCAACATGTTCTAAATGTATCATCTTTGGATTGTTAGATCTCTGTCCCGCAATGAAGAATTTTCATTGCTGTGACGGTGTTGATCAGGGAGAACAGGGCACAGTAATGAGCCTCTATGGCCCACTTGGAACATCTCCTTTTTACTGCCTCTTCACGCGTGTTCTGTGTCTGAATAAGCTGTCTTTGACGGGCATGAGTAATGCTTTTCTTCCTGTAGCTGACGCCACCCTGCCTCTAACATGACGGTATGAAGGTATGCTTATCTTCCTGTAACTAAGGTCACCCTGTCTCTAACATGACGGTATAAGAAGCCAGGTTCTGCAGAATTTTCTATGAATGTTAGAGTTGCCTTAGTTCCTGGGTTAATGCTTTCAGAACCTTCAGTCAAACAGTGTCATGTTAAGCTCCTGGTACATCATGCCATGGCAACACAGTATGACTCAGTCTCTGAGTTTATATCATGGGCAGAGGTCACATGATGAGACCCAGAGTGGGTCAGAATATCTACAGAGTGAGACAGAAGCTGGAAATGACAAAATATAAGCAGGGTTTGTCTCAGGACACCTGAGGCCCTTTTTGTGAAATGACATTCAGCTACAACGTCATTCTGGCCTTTTTCCTCTATTCCTCCTCTAGACCTTCAGAGATTTCTTTTCCTCTCTGCAGTGATTCATCACATCATTTCTGACAGTCATCCTGACCATGTCTCCCTCCACAGAATCGCCCCTGCAGGCACAACGAATTAAAATCTATCTGCAGAAGCCAACAACCTAGTCAGCCTAGTGTTCATAGGACAATTGCTGACGAGAGGCTTTGTTTGTCTCAATGGTGGTCCAAGCCTCTTGAAGAGCCAAAGGCTTGAAAAACAGCTAAGAGGCTGTTTTAGAAAGTTCTAATGGCTATGCGAAAGATGACAACACATCAAAGCCAAATGAAAAATTTTTCTTTTCATTTTTTATTCCTAGCTCCCCTAATCTCAATTCATTCCTATGAATTTGGGTTTTAGGCGACTTGATATGGTAACTCAAAGCCCCCACAAAAAATAATTGTACGCATCATGAGTCCAAGCCACATAATTGATGCCAATATAGTAAAAGTTCATCATATTAATCTAGTAAAAAATAGATTCAAACCAACAGGGCAAAATTAGCAATAATCTTCACATGCATGGAAATGTATTCAAACTCGGTGTCTTTATCCAGTCCCATTCCACAGGGGACGCAGTGTCAGCAGACTCCCAGACTATGCTCTAACCACTAGGCCACCACTTCTTCTAGATTTTTGCACACAAATAATTTTGAACCAATTTAAAATGCTTAAATCTCACTATTCTATTCGATATAACAATCATATAGTAATTACTGAGGAGTGGTGCTTTTATTACTGAACTGGCTTGCAGCTTGTCTGATTGGCAGCTTCTTTTCTTGACCGGGTCACTTGTGGAGATAGTTAACAGTAAGTTTTTGTATCCCTGCTTCAGTTTATATGTCTGCTTCTGTCTCCTTGAACCCCAGTCAGCCTTAGCAGATGGCCGCTCACACTGTGCCTGGTTCTGCTGGAGGATTCTTCCTGTGAAAAGGGAGTTTTTCCTCTCCACTGTCACTACATGCATGCTTGGTGTGAGCAAGTCAGTGACTCAATCCAATCAGTTGGTTTTCATTAGATAAAAGCTTTTAACCAATGCCTGGATAATCTGGTTCAACTGTATCTGTAAAGTGCCTTGAGATGATACGTGCCACATAAATAGACAAAATTGAATTTAACTTAATTATCTTTTAAATCTTCAGTAAGATATGGTTCTAAAAGTCATTTGGGACTTGATTTATCCAAGAATAATGGAGTTCCAGCCATATTGCTGAGCTTTATGCTGCAATGATCTGTTGCATGAAATATAATGGCTTTATTTTTATAGCGTATTATTGTGTGTGTTATTTTGAAAGACTGTCATAATAGTGTTATATGGAAAGGGTCATACTGTACTGATAACTGTATTGTATTGTAGGGCTGCACCCTACAATACAGTGTATTATAATAGGTACCTGCCATAGCTGACAAACCCCAATAAAGAATGAGCACGCAGAGCACAATGACCCTCAGGCAAACTAAAAGGAAAAAAAGTTGTGTTTCTGTGTGCAGAGAGGCAGCGGGGAATGAAGAGTTGCAACTGATGGAGGTTAAGCACATGTGCTCTCAGCTGGCCTTACACTAAACATACCCTAAGCTCTTTGTGGGTAAAAAAAAGGCAATAT